GGGCGGGAGCCAAGCACCGAGCCCGTTCTCGCCACCTCCCGGCAGAAGACGTCTGCCAAGAGGCCGCCGAGGGCCACCTCCAGGGACAAGGTGCTTCTGCCAGCGCCGGAGCCCTCCCAGGTACCGCCCGCGGTGTCCTCGGGGCCGTGTGCCCCCTGCCCTGTGCTGCCCCTGCGGCTGGGCTGGGCTGAGGGGGGCTCACGGCCTCACTTGGTGCCTTGAAATAGGCGTGAGCCCCTGCAGCGCTCCCGCACTGCGAGGCTGCTGGGTGCCTCCGCTTGGCCAGCGCTGGGCTGCAGAGGGGAGGTGCTGCTCGTGCTGATCCTGGATTTCTTTGTAGTTGGAGCCTCAGTCTCCAACCCCCCTGGAGACATCTGGATGTGCCCCGTGGGAGGACGTTTTGTGTCAGGCTTTTTCTGATGTCTTGCTTGATGTGGAAGATGTAGATGCAGAAGATGGTGCTGACCTGAGCCTCTGTAGTGGCTATGTGAAGGACATCTACAAGTATCTGAGAGACCTTGAGGTTGGTAGGTGTAGGTCAGAACTGCAAGGGGCATCTGCTGACACAGTGAACCTGTCAGTACAGGTGTGGCTTGGAGCTGGTATTCACTTTCACCTGTGGATTTTCCTGAGGCACTAAGGAAGGATCCTACAACTTAAAACACAAGAGTAAACTGAGCTGATAAACAGATGCTGGTTGTTAGGCCAGTCAGCTAGTAGTACTAGTCCTAGTACCATGCTCTTTCTAGCCCACCTCTAGTGAAAAAAGAAACCTTGTGCCATACACATGTGGGCTGTGCCTGTAGTGAACTCCTTAATAACAACAGAGGCTAGGCATGCAAATGCTTCAGCTAAGCTACCAGACCAATTAACCCTATTCCTTCCACACAGAAGAAACAACCTGTCAGACCCAAATACCTGGCCGGCTAGAAAATCACTGGGAACATGTGTGCCATACTAGTAGATTGGCTTGTGCAAGTACAGATGAAATTCAGACTCCAGCAGGAGACCTTGTACATGGTGGTTTCTATCATTGATCGCTTCCTGCAGGTGAGTGTCTCTTGCCCAGTGTCAGGCAATGCCTTCCCTCAAACTAAAGCAGAAGGAGCACTGATCAGTAACACCATATATCACTAGACACGTTACCCTTAACAAAAGACAGCTGACCAACAAAGGGCATTGGATGGTGTGTGGTATGCACCACATAACCCTCTCAGCTATGAACAGTAACTTGATATATCGAAACTACTTGTTCCTCTCCCTGATTTGATCTCAAAGTCTTCTAATACCCCTGCAGGTGCCAACAGAGGTAAAAGATTATGTACAGTTACTCTGTATACGCCAGTATGAATATCCTGGTGTGGGACAAACCTTAGAGGGGCTACCTTGAAAAGCCGTGTTCTGAGCAAATTCATTCAGATAAATCTCCACTGCTGCTTACTACAGGACAATGCTGTTTCCAAGAAGATGTTCCAGCTGGCTGGTGTCACAGCTATGTTCATTGCCAGCAAATACGAAGAGATACTTCCCCCCACATATTGAAGACTTTGCCTATGTGACTGCTAACACTTACACAAAGTTCTAAATCTGCCAGATGGAAATGAAGATCCTGCGAGCTCTGGACTTTAGTCTGTCTCTCCCTCTCCCTCCGCCCTTCCACAGGAGGGCTTCAAAGATTCCAGAAGTAGTGCTAAGAATGGGTGTTTCTGTAAGCAGCATCTGGAAAACGCAATACTTGACTGTGGCAGCTTGTTGAAATGGTTCAAAACTTCTGAGTACTGCAACAGTTTAGCAACTGGGCCTGGTTGAGACCTGCCTCCCAGGTACAAACAGGTCTTGTTTTGCCTGCTTTCAGTCCCAGGAGCCTAACCTGGGCAAAACAAGAGTTAAAACACCTGCCTGGTACTGCAGGTGACTGTTAGAATGCTATGGGAGGCAGTGCTGCTAGACTACAAGCAGTGTAATGCAGCTTGGAACTTAAGCCATTTGAATTTGAGCAACCTGGTCTAGTGGGAGG